ATATTACAATATCATAGCACAACAACAGTGATCAGCAATAATGATAAGCCTAATACTCACAATAAAAATAATAAGGTCATATAGATCATAACACAGTCTTGGAGGTAAGAAGTGGATTATCCTTCACCTGAAATGTTTGTCTTTGTCATCCTGAAATGCGAGGCAAATGTTGGATCACAATCATTAGGAACCACAGTTTCCACAAATCCCTTCACTCGATTGGGATGTTCTCTTTTATTCTGGAGGGCAAGGGTGGTGACTATAACATCGAGCGTATTTTGCAGTATTAAACACGTATTTATACCGATTTCATCAGGCTCCGAACATTCTTCAAAAAGAACACAAAGAATGGCCTTCTCAGCTGCCATAGTTGCAACTCTTGCGTCATCAGAACAGGGTGTTCAACGGACCACCGTTTCCGTTTAAAAAACGTTTTGCACTGTTTTTGTTGGGGCTGAACGCAGCCCTGGTGTTGCCAACTCAAAATCTGATTGGTTAAAGCAAGTTTCATTGCCATTGATTTAAGCTAACAGACGCCTGCACTGTTGATTCTTAAGGCAGATTTCTTTGACCCTGGCAACACGATTGCTGAAATATGATTGGCTAAAAGCTCTAATATAAACATACACTGCTGGAAGCAGTGCAACCAAGAGAAAAGCTATGAACTGAAGAGAATAGACTATTGGAAATAATTTAATACACATTCATGGAAAAATATATTAAAACTAAATCAGTGATTCTGATAGCCTGACGGCCCACCACTGTTAAAATCTGTCCCAGCCACTGCTACTTTATTAGAAGAGTACCCTACTGATCCAGGGACAGTAATTAAATTAATACAAAAAATATTATAATGTTGTGTAGTTATCATCTATAACATAGGCACAGTCACTATAGACAGCCAGGTTTACTCGTTGAAAAAATTAATTCGTGATGAAATAATTACTTTATAATTGTATTAGAGTTATACACACATGCTATACAGTTAATCTGAGCCGTGCATTGATTTGAGTGGTGACAGATATTATGGGAATGGCTTGATGGAGCGCAGGAGATGCAGATAACATGAGCTTGCCCCTTCAAGAAACTTTAATTAACGCTGTCACCTAACAAATCTGCTTCAAAGATCAAATTAAATGAATTTCTAATTACAACACTGAAATAAAAATGTAACGCCTGCACAAATACTAGAAATCATGAATATAAATAATTGGGAACCATGTAAAAAAGTAAATAAAATAAAAACAGTGCACATTTCATTTATCTATTATTACATTTATGTAGTTTTGTTCGCTTGGCTGTTTCCAGAAATTTGTCAAGTTTTTTCGTCAGGTGTCTTTTTTAATTATATGACGTTGCTGTCTTCCGCCAGCCAATCGCTGCATTGCTGATCGTGGTCTCGAGTATCGATACATCTGCACTTTTTGAGGAACACGAGAACGCGCAATAATCTTAGACAAATTAATCCAGATATTTTAATCAAATCTGCAAATTCGTTTGAAGAACCAAATTAGCCAGAGATCAGTTATCACCATTACTAGATCTGGAATCTTTCAAATAATCTCAGATCAAGCGAGGTACGAAGAACGGACCCCAGATGTTTTGGCACCCTCTGGTGGATAATAAATAAAACAATAAATTGTCAGACAGTTTCTGAACAAATTATATTCACCTTCATTTAGGATATTCAGTATACAAACGAAACCAGTGCTTGAGATAAATTACAATAATTTATTAAAGCATTTTGTAAAGCCAGTTACAAAAGAAAAATTTTTTCTCTCTCTCAATATGTTAACAAGCACAATTATTCTTTTTTTTGAGTAAGCAATAATTTACAGTTTTATAACAATGACAATGAAGAAATTACATTCAGGCCTTGTACTGGCTGCCTGCAGCTGAGCAAGGACCCCAGTGTGAATGTGTGAGAGACAGAACCTACCGTGCTATATCTGTGTGCATGTTTTATGTTGATCTTTGTGTGTGTTAATATGTGTGTATGAGGCAGAGTGTAAGCTAGCACCTGAGACCTCTCGGCTGCTCTGACACCACCTTCTCTTAACGCACACACTTACACACACTCAGTAACATCAACACATACACTGTTTGTTACTTCAACACACCGTCACATCAAATCTTCTCCACTTATTCATGACAAGTCAACTCTATCCATTTCTTCACAGCGTTGGCAGCCCTTTAATGCTGATCTAAGCCTCCAAGAAATCTGAGATCAGCATGAAAGGGTAAACCTAGACCTTCATTTCTCCAATTATCAACAATAACACCATCATAACAGATAAATACACCAAACCCTCACCCACCCCTTCCCATTCTGTTTCATAAATATAATCATAACAATAATAATAGAACTTCCCATACACATAGCTCCCTAAACATCTTCATCATATTCCATCATCATTATCCTTATTTCAATTCATCGTTAAATTCAGACATACACGTTCACAAAAAAACAAAAAAAAACAACAACTTGCATTACACTGACAAATATAGTTGCATATCAAACAGCAAAATTACACAGGTACTGTGGCAGGATTATACTCACATAAAGAAAAACAACAGGCATACTTGGACTCATTCTGTGTTGATCGAGAGTCAGTGGATGATGTTTTTTGGTGTTACAGTCCATTTAAATCTCTGTTATGTCTGCTGTCTGTCATCTCTCTGGCAGCATGGCCACTCTGGTAACAGTCTTAGCAGAGCTCCATCGTGACATGAAACACAAAAAGGCTGCTTTGGCAATGATAAAATGCCAGAAACCGAAATAAAAATTCTTAGAAGAGCAAAATTGTAAACTTTAAGAATATGTCTTAATGTCTGTTTAATATGAGCTGTTTATGGTCATTTGTCAGGCAGTTCTTTTAAAGACAAGATGGTCACTTCACCTGTGGTTTGAGGGAAAAGATATGCAGCTACGTAAGATTGCAGCAAACTACATAAATCCTCATAAGATTTATATGCAAAGCCTTTTTTTTTTTAATTCAAAGACCCACTTGTCTTAGCTTGTGCTGGTTTTTCTGTGCAGTCAGATATGATGACATTATACAGTTTAACGAGATTTCAAATGTATGCAAGGACTATATATACCATTCAAAGGTTTGCTGTCAGATACAATACAAAACAGTAATATTGTTTAATATTATTACAATTTAAATGAACTGTTTTCTTTCTTCTTCTTTTTTCAGTGTCACATGATCTGTCAGAAATCATTCTAATATGCTGATTTGGGGCTCAAGGAATTATTATTATCAGGATTATTTGATGAATGGAAAGTTCAGAAGAACAGCATTTATATTAAATAGAAATATTTTATTACAAATGTTTTTACTGTCAACTTTGATCAATTTAATGCATCATTGCTTAAAAGTATTTTTAAAAAATCTTACTGAGCCCAAACTTTTGAATGATAGTTTATGTAAATAAGATCTGTAGCCTTACTGTACATACTGTGGGCCCATAATTTTGCATCAAATGTCAGGCTCTAAACAGTTTAAGTGCTTTAATCATAGAATAAGTGTAAGTGTTTCACAATTAATGTTACTTATACGTATTGAAACAGTACAAATACATGCTTATTGAATCTTGACTGCTGTTGCCTAATACAGTACTTTTCATTGCTTGCTTTGGGCAGGCAGACCTGGCTCTACTTGCATAACACTTCATAACCGTTATCCGAACTCTGTAATAGTGAATAGAGGTGCTTATGAAACCAAACTGGTCAAAATGGGTATGCTTTTGTGCCTTGGTACAGTTAAAATTACACAAGCTTTGTATCGCTGGCAAAAATAACAAAAAAAAAAAGGAAAACGTTGTAATTACTGTAAATACAAATAATTTAGACAGTATCAAATGTAACACTTCAGCATATGTATTTATAGACTCTGGCATTTAATACAAAATAGGATGTTGCATTGATAATGTGTGAACAGACTTACAAACGAGTAGACAGTCGCTGCTGATATCCACATACTGCCGGCCCCAGATATACTGCGATCTGATTGGCTGACTGACTCCAGGTGGCCTCTGCTGGTAGATTTTGTCACTACACTTTTGAGGGCACAAGGCAAATTTTTTGGAAGCAACATATACATTGCACACATTTCATTATATCATAGCAGATTTTTTATCATGCTGCATGTTCCTTTTGGTGCCATCAGCCAATCAGAGCTGCCATGATGTCATTTTCCTGCGGCTCAAGTCACATGGCATTTATGGCTCAAGTGATTGGCTCAAAAAAAACCTGTATGTGAAATTGAGTGGCCATGAGCAAAGGTTGCAGAATTCAAACCGCATACTTCTGGGGTGTCCTGCGCCAGCCGAGCAGCTGCCATTGAGATGAATGGTAATGTTAACGCATAGCTTTCTCCTCCTGCTCTCTCATGGCTTTACAAAATAGCTCTGTATGTGTGTGTGCACAAACTCTGATCTCACACACACAAGCACAATATACACACCTCTGTAAAACTACCGGTAAATGGAGTCGTAGGTGGTTGTTGGTTAGGTACAACATCACTGAGGGTAGAGAGAAGGGAATGAAATGGAGAAGAAGAGACAAGGAAATAAATAAGTTTGGTCATCAGTCAGGGTGCTGGCAGTGAGGGGAGGGAACGGTGAGCAGGTTACCAGGCTTTGTTGTGCTTCGTAAAGGTGAAACTGGTCCGATAAATACTAAATAAACATGTGCTGTTGTATTTAGGACAGGTATACAGAGGATTCCAGTAGGTTAAGTTCAATCGTTGGAAGGGTGAAGTCTCTGTTTCTTCTCTGCTCTCATTCTCCAATCAAGAACGGTCAGTAGTATACTTCACTTTCATCACGTTGTGTTCCTGGACACTTTGGGCGCTGGTTGGTGTCGATCACCTCATCCAGGCGCTGCTGTTGCTGGTGATGGACATGATACTGCAGCGCTTTTTGACGATCATGTTGATGTATGCCTTCATGATCTTAGTGATTTCACCCACCTTGAAGCACAAAACAAAACAATATGATATGTTATATATGTTATGATATGTTTATTTAATTTGTGAAGCAGTTTTGGTGAAAACAAGGTGGTCACTTAACTTGTGATTTGAGGGAACAAAAATACAGCTACATAAGACTTGAAGAATTTTGTAATTAATACTTTTATTTAGCAAGGATGCATTATACTGATCAAAGTGACAGTAAAAGCATTTAAAATCTTACAAAAGATTTCTATTTCAAATAAATGCTCTTTCTGATGTACTTTCTATTTATCTAAGAATCCTAAAAAAATTATCAGCACAACTTTTTCAGCATTAATAATAATGAGAATTGTTTTTTTGAGCAGTAAATCAGCATATTAGAATAACTGCTGAAGGATCATGTGACACTGAAGACTGGAGTAACGAAAATGCTGAAAGCTCAGCTTTGCATCACAGGAATAAAGTTTAATTCTTAATATATATAAAAATATAAAATAACTATATTAAATTGTAATAATATTTCACAGTATTACTGTTTTTTACTGTATGTTTGATCACATTAATCCAGCCTAAGACTATTCTTTCAAAAACATTTTAAAATCTTGCTGACCCCCAAACTTTTGGACAGTGGTGTACATCCTCAAAAGACAACCATTTAAACAAGCAATTAAACACCATTTTGTCCAACACAGTACTGATAACAGAGGCACAGAAGTGCATTACCTGAGACGTCTCAAAGAACATCTCTCTTTCATCAACAATGATTTTGTATGTGCTGGGCTGAGGTGCTCCGAAGAAAACGATGTGCTCATACTGGAAAGTTTCGAGTGGTTTGGGTTCACCCCGTTTGTACACAGAGACGTTTTCAGCACTGACTCCCAGCCACAGATCATGAGGGAAGCCGCCCTCCTTACACTGCAGACAGAGAAATAAAAACACATATAATTAGTATAAGAGTTTCAAACGTATTGTGACAGGTTTGAAATAACATAGCACTTTAGGGCTTGGCTTAGGGTTAGTAATGATAATTATATTGCTATTTAACAAGGCTGTAACCATATATTTATGATAGGAGGTAGTAGCCCTGATACTCTGGACCTGAGGTGGGATTTAAGAAAAAAAAAAAATAGGGATGCTCTCAGCCTTAAAGAAAAGATTTATACCTCCACATCAAACAGCGTGGACCCGTATCCCGGCCACTCTTTGATGATGGTCATGTAGCTGAGCATGGCTTGGTGTTGAGGCATGCCCTGTAGACGGCTCCATTTCTCCAGCACGCTGGTCAGTGTGGCTGACATCTCCTCCTTTACAAACATCTCCAACATCTGTTCCTCCTCCACACGCTGTTTCTTCAGCGATCCCGTCTTGAAGCTGCGTCTCAGCGTCCCGTCTAGGAAGTTGGTCTTCCGGCGTTCTAGAGTGTGACCTCCTGGCCCTACTATACCAGCGCCGGGTACTCCAGCACCCCCTGCTTTAGTGGATTGGAGTATGCGGGTGCGAAGTCGTCCAACAGGGTAGACGCTGCTTAGGCTCCAGGGCGTACGGGCCACGTCACCGTGGATGTACTGCAGTCGCAGGGCTGCTAAGTGCTGAAGGGTTTCCTCAAGGGCTGGGAAATGACCACTGATGAGACTCTCATGAGCCTAAGAGAGATGGTGAAAAAAAGAGAAAAATCACTTTCTATCAGAGGTGCTCAAATCAGGGCCCACTGGTCTAAGTTGCCCAATCATGTTATATCACAAAGATAGGGGAAAAACATATTCACTTCTTAATTGCAGAAAATACAATTGATTTGACAAGTGGTTTGTCTATGTGCTTTAAATGGGTGAATCAATAGTAAAAATTCTCTATAAAGGTTCTACAAAATAGAAATAATTACTTTACCTGCTCAAACATGAAGGCAAATTCCACTCCCTCTTTGGGCATGCTTTCCACATCAAGAAAGCAATAGAGTTTGAAATATAGCCTCCAGGGCCCTTCCTCCTCCTCATCTTCACTACCTGCCAACCTGGAAGAGCAAAGCGGTGCAGATGACCCTCAGTCATAAAGCCAACAGAAATAACATGTACAGAAATATAGGTTTTATAGATGCTATAGACAGTTTTAAATACAGAAATTAAATACAGATTTCATTCAAAATCATCTAATCAACATAGACCATATGAACAGTTCATTACCTCTCAAACTTTGCGAGCACATCTGCCACAATTACACGACTTTCTATGGCCCGACTCGCCACCTTATTGTGCTCAAACAAAGAGAACATATTCCTGCTATTTTCCATTGCCAGACCACGAATCAGCTTCTCAACCACCTTGACAAAGACAAGCACAAAAAAGATGTCACTTTCATCCTAATTTGCAGAACATGCTGTAATTTCATTATACAGTTCAAAGCAGAAATGTTAAAATGATGTTAATAAATTCGATAACATCTCTTTCTCTTCTTCTCACCTCTCCAGCTGTGGTGTGTGAGTTGATGGATATCTTGCAAGACCCTCCTCCATGGCAGTACACTGTAGTTGTCATTTCCTGTCTGTTCAGCAGGGCGGCGATCTCCTCCTGAGAGGGCACATACTCCCTGGTCTTTGTCTTCTTCAGGGACTCACTAATGAAGTGGGCATACTTCTCAATCTCAGTGCCAGGGTAGCGCTCTCTAACTCTGAGAGATTAGTCACAGACAGAGACCCAAAAAACATAGTGTTTGTCAAATGACCCTTGAAATGGAAATATAACCATTATTCAACTCCAAGAGGCGATTTAATGAGCATCTCTCTCTGTTACCTCTTCAAGTGGAATCGGAGGTAACGCAGGATGGCGCGACTGGGCAAGAAGGTGCAACTCATGCAGGTGAGCAGGTGCCAGTGTGCACGGTTTGCAGGGCTGTTGGGTTGGGGCACGTGATTGGTCTGTTTGATCAGCTGACAGTACACCTCGTCTCTCAGTGGCCGCAGATCGTGGCAGGTCTGCAGGATGCCCTGGATGATGGCGACAGGGTCTGAAACTATCTCCATTTCCTGAAGTGAGTTAAAGATCTTCACAGCCTCATCCTGCAGGCTTCCATAACCCTTCTCCTTTTGCACTGCAGAAAGAAGGAGAGAGAGATGATTTGCAAAAAAAAAAGATGACGGAAGATGAAAATACAAGAAGCACCTCTGCACAAATAGGAAATAGGTTAACAAATTCAGGAAACCGTGTTGGATGCGTATAATTGTCAACTTTCTGTGTGTGAGTGATTTAGCTGATGGATGATACTTACAGCTTTCGCTGACCTCTCCGTATGGTAGTGGCAGAAGAGGTGAATGCAAGGGATGCTGGGTATATCTCAGAATGGGGTTTCTTCGATACATTTGTTCCACAGCCTCAGAGTTCACACTGTTCTCCTACACAAATGTCAGAAAAGGTAAAAGGAAAGGCCAAAATGTATGTACCATTTTTATTAAACAACAGTTTTATCCATTCTAACCTTGAGTGCAAAAAACAGACTTATGTTTTAAAAACGAATTACCTTAATGTCCCTAATGAGATGCTGGGTGGGCGTTTCAATGGGCGCCTTGTTGTCAATGACGCCCTGAACGGCAGACACCCAGCGCATGGCTTCATTCAGCAACTTGGTGTACAGACGGTATGAATGTTTACGCCCATGAATTATGATGTTCCAGTAACCTGCAGTGTAACCAGACATCAGCGTCACCGTGTATCTTAGTTCATAAAAAGAAAAACATCTTCATAATTTCAAAATTAAATAAAATAATTAAAATAAATGCAAAATTAATGACATATAACCAACAAATTAAAAACGTACATTATAAATAAATCGTTTTTTAGCTTTAAAAATACACTCTGTATTTGCTGTCAACAGCAGACTGCAATCAATACAGCAAATGCTTCCCAACAGTTCCAAACAATTATTTTTTGCTTCCTTAATTGTGAACCAAGAATATTAACTATTTAACTATAACGATAACTATAATAGGAAGATAATGTTGTTTATTATAAGCATACACTACATATATGTTGTCTGCCACTTTAAATGCTTGAGCTCTTTAAGTCTGGTGGTTTCTGATTGAGCATCAATGTTTTTTAACATTCATCAGCTGTAAACAAAAAATATTCTAAAAGTGATTCCAAATATATTTTTCCTCTGTGTTGATATCATTATAGCTATGGTATGGACATTCCTGTTCTGTTCTATTACTTACTCAAGCAGCATAAGTTATACTTTTAATAATATCATACTCAGTCACATCATATCACGATCATATCATACTCACCTGTCTCTTTAAACTTTTTCTCCTCAGGCTGGACAACAGAGCACAGGCTGTCGCAAGAGACAAAGAAGATTTATACTTTTATACATCATCAGGTCAAGAACAACATTTTCCCAGCTGTTTTATCATTTTTAAGAGATGGTATTTCAATAACATTAAGACAGGGGACCGGGACCCATTAGGGGATCACAGCAAACTTCCAATGGGGCCTCAAGATGTCTTTAAATGGTTTAAAATATGACAAAACAAGCTTTAAAATAAGCCCCAAAAGCTAAAAATCAAGATGTAAGCATTTAAATACTATTTTAAATACTATGTATTTAAGAAACATGATTCTCACAGTCTTGGTAAACTTGGATATATGAATGAATTTTAAAAGTGTGATTTCCTGGAAAAGTCATGGAAATTTTAATAATGAATATGAATTTTACACATTTGGTAGCTGCTTTTATCCAATGTGACTTACATTGCATTTGATGTCTATTGTTTTTAACCAAATTATGCATTCCTTGCAAATCAAACCCATGACTTTGGAATTGTTAATGGCATGCTCTATTTTTTATTTAAAGTTCTGCAATTATGTAATTTGTTTTAATTATTATTAATTATGTTATTATTTTAAAATATCGTCTGAAAAGTGTGAAAATGAGCACATTTTGGCCCTTTGAATATTATCTTTCACAATGGGGGCACTGAATTTAAAAAGATTGAGGACCACAGCATTAGGGACTTTATTTAATGTAAACAGATTTTATCTTTGATTTCTTACCCTTCATGTAAAGGTAACTGTGGAAATACGGAGGTCCGTTCCCATTCAAGATGTTGACTTTACCATTGGATACCTCCTCATCTGTGTCCACGTACCCATCATGCTCATCATCGCTGTCAGCATACTGAAAAAGAAACAGAAAGAGTGAATGGTCTGTGTGTGAGTGTGCATACCTACTTAACCATATTTTGGTGACAAATACTGTATGTTATGTACTCAGTAGTGAGCTACACCTGACAAAACCTCATTTGAGGGACATCTAGGAATTTTGGTCTAGTATTTCGGTCTAGAAGAAGAATAAGTAAGGAAATAGTCTTTCTATGATTACTACAGTTTATACACTATGTGTTTCTTGTATGTGAACCCAACACATGTTAACTTGAAGGAATAGTACTGTGAATTGTCCCTTTAATGGGTCTACCACTATGAAGATCCAATCTGACACTGTGGGAAGTACATTGTACATGTCCATTTGGACACATTTTTAATGTTTGTGGACATGTTCTCTGTGTAACTCACCGAATCTGAGCTGCGGTTGTAAGACTCCTGGCTTGCGTTGGTGCAGGTGGACTTGCGTGCCTGTTCTGTGTCTGTCGCCGCAATGCTGCTCTGTCCGTCCTCTAGATCGTCTTGGTCATAGTCCGACTCGCCATCCCCAGGCACACTGTAGATGGGTTCCTCTGTGTCTGGCAGAGACTCTGCTGCAGTCAGCCTGCTGGTGCGATCCACATCCTCTCCCTCCTTTTTCCCATCCACAACTGTTTTAGCCCCTTCAGGCTTTCCAACTTCCTTTTTGCCTTCGCCAGGGAGAGGGGGAGGAGGTGGTGGAGGAGCCCCAGGTGGAACGTTAGGTGCAGATGGGGCCACCGTGCCCTCTGCAAAGGCAGGAGGAGGAGGTGGTAGAGTGCCTAAGATCTCCTGATCCACTGGACCTTCCACTGGAGGAGGGAACTCGGGAAGTGGTATGCACTCTTCCTCTGCATGGAAGCCTTCATCTACCTCTTCCTCAGTGGCACCTGCCGGTCTGGGGGCAGGTTGTTTAGCATCACCAGGAATGACTTCTGGGCCTCCAGTGTCAAGCAGGTCAAGGAATTCAGTAGCGACACGAGAAGCAGCTTTTTTCTGACGCAGGACCTCAGCATCACGCCGCAAGCGGAGTTCCTGTCTTGAGCTCTCACATAGCATAGACACACCGTCTTCCTTTTTCTTCTGCAGACGCTCAATCTCTTGCTCCAAACGCAGAATTTCCTCCATCTGACGGTGCTCCTCAGATGAGTGTGGAGACTAAAGGAGAGAAGGAGAGGGGAATGATATAGAAACACTGGTTAGAGGAAAAACAAAAATTACAAAAATGTTGACACCACCTGTCTGCAACTCTGACAGGTTTTTAGACTTGATGCCAGAAGGTTTAAAATAAAACAAAAAACTATTTGACAGGTAGACCGTACATAAACCCGTTTGTTTTGGAGGAGGAGTCTGAAGTTTCATTAAGAATAAAACGTTGCTCTATAATTTGTCTGTTAAAAATGTTGTTGAAAAGCATGGTAACCTAGTTTCTACACATAAAAAATCATAAACATTCATAATTATTAGATATAAAGTCATTATTATGATAAAATATTTTATGTCATAGTTATGCCTTTTTAATCTCAGAATTACAACTTTTTATCTCATAAAGAGTGTCATAATTTAGACTTTTTGTATCATAATTTTACATTTTTGATATAAAGATTTTATGCCGTAATTTAGACTTTAACTTAGGTTTACAAATGCATTTCTCAAATGTGGCATAAGTCATAATTATGAGTTAAAAGTCAAAATTTTGAAAAAGTCAAAATTAGATAAAAAGTCAGTTATGACAAAAATATATCATAATTTTTTATTTCAACGTTTTATCATGTACTTATGACTTTTGTCACAATTACATTTATATCACACTTTCATCATAATATTAAACTTTTATGTCATAATTTCACCTTGTAATGTCATAATTGTAACTTTTTATGTCATAATTATGATTTATCAAAGCATTTTTCTTATGTGACAGTAATGGGCTCATACAGAATAAAGACAAAGCTATGTGACAACAATAATTACAATCAATCAGCATAATCAGACAAACTCGCATTTAAAAGCTTAGCTAAACATACATATTGCATATTCATGATGGAAAGTTTCAAAGTTTGGAATAAGATAAGACTAACTTAAAAATGTTGATCACTTGATATACCAAGTGACACTAATCACCCCAATGACTTTAAGAGGTAGGTGGGATTTTTGCCCTAAAATATATACACAACTAGTATGCATGGTCTATGAGCTTTTAAAAGGAATGTTAAAGTCACTGACCCCTGCTTTCTCTCCTTCCTTTTCCTCTTCATTTTTCTTTTCATGGTCTCCTGTTTTCTTCTCCTCCCCTTCTTTCTTATTCCTTTCCTCCTCCTCTTTCTTCCTCTTCTCTTCTCGTAGTTTGTGGCAGACTCCTCTTGCCACTTGCCCTCGCCTGTGTTTCTGGAGAACAAGTGCAGCTGAGCATTTCCGTTGAAACTGACGTCGATAGAAATGTGCGCGGTAATTCTTCTGGATGGTCAGAATGCTGTCCAGAGCCTTCTTAAAGTTCTTTCTGTAGTGAGTACACAGTTCAAGTTCCCTTAGAATAAGTAACTGTGAGATCAGTATTTTATTAAAGCTGTCACTAAGACACTACTTGTTGTCATGTCTAGATGAGCACTAACAGGTAAAGAATAGGCACTTGCACTTATATAGTATGAAAAACTTGCTCTTGTAAGTTTTGCTTTCATTATTTCCTTGCTATTTGGCTGCAGTAGAAAGCAAAAGAGTTTACTCCTCGCAGCACTGCCAAGGGCTGTGTGGTTATTTAAGCCAACCATGTGATAAGAAAAGGGCCAGGCACATTGAAAACAAATATGATATTAAATTCATTTTTGTGAATAAATTCATTGATAAAAAGTGGCAATAAAGACATTTCTGAAGGGTCAAGTAATGCTGAAAACCGAAAACTCATAGGAATAAATTACATTTTTTAATATATTAAAACAGAAAACAGTTATTTTAAAATGTAACAATATTTTACAATATTACTGTTTTTACTATATTTTTATCAAATAAATGCAGCCTTGGTGAGCATAAGAGACTTCTGTCAAAAACACAAAAAATGATTGGTAGTGTATATTTAAATATTTTTGGTATTAACTCTGAAGAAAACAAGATGATCATAAAAAATCATCAGGACATGTTGGAAGCTAGGCCATATAGATAACAAGGGGTAGATAACATTAAAGAAATGTGTATTGAAAATGTTTTGGAAACTATACCTAATGTAATCTAAGTAAATCTGTGCAAAAACCAAGAAATACACACACCTTGCAATATATCTCAGAAGATAGGCTCGTATGATCAGTCCAGCTTTGCTTCGCACTTCATCTCTCTGCTTCTCCAGCTTCTGTTCTAGAGGTTCCTTCAGAAACACCTTGGGGTCAAAAATTATATCAGGTTAGTGCAATCAAACATAACAAGTGCACATACATAAAAATGTAGACAGAAAATGTCCATGTGTGAATCTATCTTTATAACCTCACAGACAGAAAAAGATAACTATCAATTGAGAAGCGATAAAGCAAGAGGTCAAAGGTCACTCACCTTGGTCTTCCCAATCTGCCACTCCTTTTTGGTCCTGTCGTGGAGTGTGAGCAAATCTGTGCTCTTCTTTTTCTCATCTCCATTTGAAGCCACAGCTGCCTTTTCCTTCTCCTTCAGAATGATCTTATACCTGATGCATACAACCACTAAATCATAGTCTGCAAGAAAACCTGAGGCAACAAAAATTCATGCACCTGTATGCGTTTTAACATTTACCTGCTGAAGAAGTCTTTAAAGGTGCGTCGGACAGGGAATCCAGCTCTGCGAATCTTCACCGTCTCCAACATGCCAGAGTACCGCAACTGATTGAGAACCACATCTGGGACGAACTTGTTTGGGGTCTACAGAACCAAAAAAAAAATGCATTATTAAAATGAATAATACGTGTGGAATATAAATTGCATTTGTATTGGCTGATGTGACTGCTCTCACCTTGTCCATGTTGGGTTTGATGCAACGCACAAAAAAGGGGTTGGATACACTGAGAGTGGCCATTAGGGCATGAAGAGAGTCCTGAGAGACAGAAGAGACAACCAATCAAATGTTTTAAATCATTGACAAGTCAGAAAGGACTGCAGGCAAAATGTCAACAAAAAACAGGGTTGAATAACTAGTGACTTAGTTCCTGATTGTTTTAACATGCAGCACTTTAGCATGTTAAATTTTAGGGCTATTATTTAAAAGTCTTGATATAGGAGTTTTATCTCACTCTGAACTGTGAGCTGACAGTGGGCTTTTTTCTTGCTGTGCCCATCTTCAAGGTCTCCTCATTATTTCTGCTGCTCACTTGCTCAAACAGGTCATAGATGAAATCCAATCTGCACACACACACACACACGCACACAGAATAACTCACAGGTTAAATGAGAGTGCGAAATAAGTTGTACATAACAAAACTGCCTCAGTGTGTGTGTGAACTTGAGCATTTGTGTGTTTGCGTCTTACCTACTATCCTTCAGCATGTTCAGTATATCATCTCTAAATGTGTCTCTGTTCTTCTCTAAAATCCCCCTCACATCATATAAGACCTATAAAAAGGAAAACAAAAAAATCAAGAAATAAGACAGACAGAGAGATAAATAGACATACAGACAGACAGATGGATATTTCATATACCTCTCCAGCATAGTGTTTTATCCCAAACTGATGGTCTGCCAGTCTGGGTTTCACATAATAGGGATTAGTCTGTGGAAAAAGATGCTATTCATGTTATACTGTAAATGCTTGGCTGAATAGTATTATGTCTTTGTGTGATAAGAACTTAACTCACAGAGTGTCTGCCGTGCAGTTTCTCCAGCAGGGTGAAGTCAGTGCCTTTGGGAAATCGGCTCTCCTCATTAATCAGAGCTAACATGCCCAGTTTCTGCACAAACACACCAGTAAATAAGTGTTACATAATACAAAGCTGAAAACTTCTACTATTGTAAATAATCAAACTGAACTTTGAATATAAAATATATGTATAAATATGTGGCAGCTGGACTAATTAAACCGAACTGTTCCTGATAGCTGACCATAACTGGTTTACCTTCTCAATCAGATCCAGACATTCTGCATTGTCCATCCAGTCAATGGCTTCCCATTGAATCCCTTCCCTGTACCACACAATCGTAGTACACAAAACTTGTACAAACTTAACAATAATCTTGTTAGATGCTTAAATTGCATATTTAATAACTGTTCAGGTGATCGGGCACTTATGAGATGCATTACACATGTAAAAATAGACATTTAATAAAAGAAAAAAACAAATTTTCATGCACTCACGGTTGTCAGTCTTTACCTGTTGTACTCCAGTTGCTCCAGAGAGAAGATGTGTTTGTTGAAATATTCTTGCAGTTTCTCATTAGCATAGTTAATGTTGAACTGCTCAAAACGGTTCACCTTCAGAACAAACAAACACTTGGGTTAGATCTCAATAAAAATGTGTGTCTGTGCATGAACATGTGATCCATGTGGCCTCACACCTCAAAGTTCTCAAAACCAAAGATGTCCAAGATTCCAATAGACTTGAAATTATCTTTGCCCTTTATCTTCTGATTGATTCGCATGATGATCCACGAGAAGCACTGAGAATAAAGCGCCATGGCAACCGAATCCCTGGAATCTATTGCCTGTCAATCAAGCATGATAAAAGAAAATGCCCATTTTTGATCAAGTGGAGACAGAAGAGAAGAACTGCCAAACTATGTAAGTTTTTTTTTTTAAGTATATCAATATGAGAATGTATGTGTGATTGTACCTGTTCCACTGTGAGTGGAGAGCAGATCTCTTCTCCTCTGAGGATCATGGAACGCTGGGTCAGAACCTCAGACAACTGAAAACTGTCCAGACCCATGAGCTCACTCACATTAGTGATAACTGCAGGAAAACAGAGAAGAGACTTACTAACAAACACATATTAGCAGTGCTGGGTAGATTACTTATGAACTGTTGTCCATTACTGATTATAAATTACATGACAAAAATTGTAACAATCTGGATTACACAAATTAGGTCATGTAGTCTGACTACTTTTAGTTTACTTTTGACCTAACTCATTCGTCACATAGACTTGAACGGAATTATTGTGTACCATATTGATAAAAAAAGATCAATATTATCAATTTCATAAAATGCATTAAACATTACATTAGGTTTCTGAAAAAAATGTAGGATGTTGATGAAATGCTAATAAATGAATGAAATCATAAATGTGTCAAATTAAAATGAACATACAAATATGTTGCTAAATTATTTAAATCTCAGGGGTACATCAGGTAAATATTTTACATCAAAGGGGTTCAGCTCATAAAAAAGCTTGGGAATCCCTACATTACATGAACAAACAGTAATAAACATATGAACATGACATTCATTGGCCGAAGTCTTCCAGGTTTTAAATAATTTTGTTCAGACCATATAAATAATTTTGTTCCAATAATACACAGATAAAATACTTATGGATATGATGAAGACATAGTATTTCACAGCTATCCATTGGCAGTGTTTAATAACTTGCATAATTATTAGTCTCATAGTTATAAGTGGTCATTTAGAAATGAACATTTAGAAGAAAAAAATAACTGGGGTGAATCAATAAAGTATGAATAACTTAACTTATGCCATTGTGTGAATAATATGTAATCCATAAAAAAGTAACTGTAATCTGATTATTAGCATTTTAAAACATGCTTAATTTTTGCAATCTGATTATGTAATCCAGACTACATGTAATCAGTTAGTACCCAGCAGCACTGCATATTAGCAAAGTCTCTCTATTATTAAGTGATGAATGACACCTCACCCTGTTGGGTGGTGATCTGAGCGCCCCCTGCTGTCATGAACTCCACATTGCCAAGCTGCAGAACTCCAGACAGCAGTTTAAACATATCTCTGATCTCTTCTTCTGTGAACTCCATGACCTTCAGAGCCTCCTGCAGACGAAAAGAGAAAAAGAGCATGAATCATCATGCTGCACTTAGATTTTTATTCACCTCAAAAATGTTAATTATCAGATCAACAAAAGTCTATTCAACTTTTTTGTACCATGACATCGTCAAAAAGCTGCTTGTCATCGAGACTGCGGTCCTTCACACATCCTGACTGACTCAGGTAGTGAAATAACTCAGGGGAGTCTTCCAGAAAATATGTCTCTAAAAAGAGATGGACATATCTAATCATTCAGTGTATTTTGGTTGATGATGGCATATCTGCATTTGTGAATGTGTGTAAATGCATGTGTGTTCAGGCGCATTGTGTATTCGTTCACCCTTTTGGCCTTTGCTGGCCCCCGCCAGCAAAGCATAAAAGATGTGGTAGTTTCTCTCCCCTGGATTCTGCCTTACCACTCGATTCTGGAACACAGATCAGATCACAGATGCTGAGTGGGCGAGAATCTCACTTTGGCAGACACTCTGCCCCCATGTCTTGAATTTGTGATCATTCTGAATGTATTTTAATAAGACTGAATCATGCAGTGATCAGGCAGAGGCACACTAGACTTCACGTAATGCGTGCACTCTGTAGGTGTTTTGAATGTTTGTTTTTTTTGTTTCGTGAGAATATTGAGCAAAATAGCTCACTTGTCATGGTGTTATTTAACTATATCATGTTATGAATAAACTAAACATTTAGAATTTTTACCTGTGTGTTTCTTCTGAGTTCATGTGTGCTGTCACGCTCATTTGTTCTGAAGTCTCGAGACAAACAGAGTGAGCCTCAGCGCGAGCTTGTATTCTGTATTCTGCTAACTTACTGCAGTTCTGTCTGATGACGCAGTAAATTACCGCAGGGAGAAAACATCTTCGGTCTGTCCAATGATTGTAAAGTCATTAGGTCCGTCAGACTGAAGATATTTTAGCGGTAATGAGACCAAAAATAATTAAGACCCATCGAATCCGAATTTAAGACATTTTAAGACTTTTTAAGGCCTTATATTAGGAAAAAGTTATTTAAGACATTTTAAGACTTTTTAAGGACCCGCGGACACCCTGTGTGAACAGTTGATCATAGAAGACAGTAGTTTCTGGTAGTTAGGGGCGAGTCAGCAGCAGATGGAAAGGTTTACCTTTTCAAGTAAATCTGATGGGCCAAAAATGAAGGGAAATGCAGACACTTGAAACAGCAGCTTGTAGTGCACTGTACGGTGAATGTGTTTAAGCATGGGGAAAAACAAATCCCAGTTACCAAGTTAACCATTCATTTCTATGGGAAAAAAAAGAAAACCTATGCTAATAAAATGACACTAGAGGACAATACTCAATCTCTGGCAAAATTTTAAATGGTTGATGTGATTATGGTAACTGGGATTTTCTGACACTTAAATGCATGTTATTTGCAAATTAAATGGAAATGTCTTATAGTTTAAATTTATATTAATGCAATTAGTTGAACTCGGAGTGCTTTTTTACCTACCCATGTAGGACTAATTACACATTTGTAATGATAAAATCACAAATGAACACATTTAAATAATTAACTTTAAATGTAATATTAAATACAGGTAAAACTTTAAATTTGACATTTTTACAAAGTGCGCATTTTAAAAGTATATAAATGTGTTAAGAAACAGTCATGAAGTTGTACTTTCTTCAAGTATAAATAAGTAGCCTTTTATTTCAATAATATTATATTATATTATCTGCAAGTTTTTTTTTAAATATACTATTAAGATTAAAAGCACACTGCAAGTGCACATTCAATACAATTAAGCACACTTCTTTTTCACATGGGTATGGTACCATCTGTAAATGTCAAGATGTCTCAGTATAGAAAAACTATGTATTAAAGCATGTGTGCTCTGAGGAGGATACAATCAACGATGCATCCTCCCTGGATGTTCCCGCTTTGAGAGAAATGAAGCTGAATGAATTTCCCAAAGCGACTGGAGTTGTTGTTGTAGACTGTTTTGGCATTTCCAAATGCTTCCATGATGGGGCTGCAAAAAAAAACGTTGTGGATTTGTATGTGCACATGAAAATGCTTAGGCTGTGTGTGTGTGTAGGAATGTGTTTTACCTGCTCTGTACGATAGCTTGCTCCACGCGGGTGGTCTTCTCTGTAGGCGGCGTCCCGGCAGAGTTTTGGCTCATTACAGACAGGAACTGTAGCAGTAGTTTGGTGCTCTCTGTTTTCCCAGCTCCACTTTCACCACTGGTAAACACGCATGCACACATTCATTTGTGACCTTCACTGACATTTGTGTTACCATGATTGAATTAGCAATGCTGTGAAATCTGATAGCAGTTGTGGCAAAGGTCTAAAGCCACAACTGCTCAAACTCAGCCTTTAGGTTTAACACAAATGAGATTAGTAAACTAAGATCATATCTAATAATGGATCCCCTTCCTTCAGTGAGTAAAACCAAAAGCATTCCAAACCTTCCTCACATTACCTACGTGCTTTAAAACAAGATTTAAATTGACACAAAAAAATCACTACATTTTTCCAGTAAGAAGAGATAGAGATATCTCTAGAAAACACAAGGGCCTATTCGTTTATAATACATGCCATATTGTCAGACAGAACTGTTTCTTTTTTCATTTCTATGTAAATGTATGGAAGTTTTAAAAGGAGTTTTACATAAAGTAAAATAAAACGTGCTGTTCGGGGGTTGATAATAATATATCAAATAACAATGATAATAATAAAAAATAATAATAATGACTAAGACTGCACAATTACAATTACAGCTATATAAAATTGTTGATTAATTGTTGTTACTATACTCAGTAACCAATCAGAGGTGTTTAAATTAATCACTCCACAGAAGAAATCCATTTAAAATAGCAAAGATTTGTTCAGTGCGTGCTAATAGGAAGTTTGAAAATGTTATGGTTATAATTATCATTAGTTATCATTCTTGGAGTGAAAGATAAATGCTTTGTATGGTCATACTAATTCCAGCCAATGAATAATACACAATCACAACTTTTAGCATTTTATGAGCACATTTTACTGAAAATCTCCTATTCACTGTATTTCATGTTCTGCAAGTTTGTCTGCTTATCAAGATCAAATAAACTTATATTACCTGATCAGCACACATTGGCTATCATGTCTCTTCCATAAGCAGCGGTAGCACTCATTGACAATAGCAAAGATGTGTGGTGGCAGCTCGCCCAAATGATGCTGACTGTACAGCTCCACTGCAGAGAGATCATACAGCCCTCTGATCTGCTTATAAGGATTCACGGCTGCCAGGATAGAACCTATGTTAGTCTGAGAGATAGAGGAAAATAGTGAAGTTAGCAAGTTAAGGGGTATTGAGTATAATAAAGCCAGCAAACAGTAAAACAACAAAACCAGCATATTGAAACAAATGCACACACATTTGTGATCAGTGTAATTTATACCCACAGATAAAGGGAAATTTCAAAGGAAGTTCAATAATCAGTATGTGATCCGTTCATATTTCACAGCTGGTTGTGCCAGTGGGTCGTGAGAGGATTGTGGATGATGTTTGTCCTTATCTATGAGCACTGTGACAACATAAATCCATCTCATTTAATATCGACTGCATTAACAGATGCTGGTTTTATTAATGTGTTTATGTGTGGGTGTGTGATTGTAATTTTCATATACTGTGGCTAACAACACCCAAGCTGACTGGCAGTAATATGATTTACTGATCTTAGCAACAGCAGTGATGAGATTAAATTGAGACATTACTAGATTCCTGGAGAGGTGCCAAACACATCTAGACCCAACATTATGGACACTACACTAATGAGAAAAAAACATCAGGGTATATTATCTGTGGATCTGAAATGGTGTCAATGTTGTCCTTACAAAAAAATATTTTGTTGCTACTGCCCCAAGAGGGCGCTAGAGAGAAGAGTCATTCTCATTCAGGTCGACCGTGTCCTGGTGTCTCAGATAACCACTGCTATCAGTCATCAACCTCAGATGCTAGCAATGCAATGCATCCTGGGAAAAGTGAATTACAGTATCCACTTACCAAGATAAGAGAGACCCTTCACATTCACTCCACTGAGCACAACATGACACAAATCTGCAGTCTACAGCAAGATCAACAATACAGCAGCCAAATGAAGCCTTGCATGCAGTTCTATTTTTTATTCAAATGACAGGGAAATTTATATAAGCAATTTTCAGACACTGATAGTGAAATTTTATTCCAGCTCTACTAATAAAAAGCATTACACTGACCTTCGCTAATTGTAGAAACATCCATACATAATTTCCTGTATTGCATATGAGAACTAGACTGATTTATCATACAGTGTCTCCCATTTCATTACCAGCACAAATATACCAAGATAAACAACCATACAGCTATTATCTCACTTGTTCGAGCAGGTTATTGGACTATACTCTGAAATGGGTTTAGATTGCATGATGTGTTTTGGGTGTAGATGACTGTCGGATGTTTTTGTCCCTCTGCAGTGAACTAAACAGGGCAGGTCATGTTCACAACTGTTGCTAGTAATTAAAAATGGCACTTATTTGTGGTGAAATATTAAAACAATACCAAACAATTTGATTTGAATTGTAGTAGTCTGGGCAATATGCAAAGTAATGTAGTTTTATTAGTAAAGATTTAAACCGATGTGTGGTTAGTTGTGGTTACAGGTAGGTTGTTTATTTTATTACTTTTTTTGAGGATGGCTCATCTAATCAGAATTTAGTGCCATTATAAATTATAATTTTAATTATACATTTTATAATGTGTGAAAAACAATATTTAATTTTGTATGATATAGTGTCTACTGAATCACAGGCATTAGGGTTTTATGTAATAGTTGATTCAAATATTTTTTGGAAATTGCCAAAGTTTTTCTGAAAGATTAGAACACCTTTAGAATATAGGCATCAAAAACACATTAAGAGACCTAAAAAAAAAAAGCCTCTTAAAGGTATACTCCACCCAAAAAGGAAAAGTCTGTCATCATTTACTGACCCTTGTGTCGTTCCAAGCCTGTATGCATTTTTTCTGCAACAGTTTCAGTTCTCTTTGACTTGCATTGTAGATTTTGTCCATATAATGGAAGTCAATGACCAAAACAGTTTGATTATCAGCATTCTTCAAATTATGCTATTTTATGTTCCAGAATAAATAAACTTAATACAGATTTGGAACAACATGAGGGTGAGTAAATGATGACAGAATTTTCATTTTGGGTGGATTATCCCTTTACAATCTCTAATTTAAAATAATATAATCATATAATATAACACCACATAATACATATTTTTCAATAATATATTTTTAAGCTTCTGTCTTCAGTTAAGTTTATCACTTTATCACTAGCTCTGAGTTAGTTAAAACCAGTATGATGGAAGATTAAAAAGAATCTGACATAAAAGCTGTGTAATCATGCTGAAAACTTCCAGTATGCTTGTCTCTGTCCCAGTCAATCCTTACAAAGAAGGATTTACGGGCATTAAGGTCTCTTTCTATGGATTCTGCAAAGGTCAAGCTGGAATGTTTGGATCATAATGCAGACAGTGAGTCATATCATTCCCTCCAGGCTACAACTCTAAACCAGCAGTCTGGGATGTATGGCTCTGTTTAGACCAATAAGGTTCCAGCCTGCACCCACCACCCGATCACATGACCCTTCTCTTCATCATCGGTAAGACCCTATAGTGGCACACGTTTATTTAAACATTCCCTGAGGGCCTATTCTTTGATTTCACGCTTTGTCTCTCACACACACACGGATGCTGCTACAGTGTGTTAAACAGTATATACTGTATGAACGATAAAAGTGAGTTGAATTACCAACATAAGAGCATTATTGCAAGTTTAATTTAAGAACAGATGGTTAATAGTCAGATTCTGGATTTTGCAATTCACTTATAAAACAAAACCCAGCGCTATTTTTAGCATAAATTCTACTCCCTAATTATGAAAAGTTTGTCCATTGAGCACTTGCAGAGCTCAGTTTTAATCTTCTGTTGGTATTTAAGCTGATAAACTCACTTTAAACAATGGAAATAAAAGCAGATGGTGAAACATTTACACACAATATGCTAATAAGCTCAGAGCTTACATTTCTTGTTTTAATAAGAAACATTTCTTATTATTATCATTATCAACACTGAAAACAGTTGTGCTGCTTAATATTTGCGTAAGAACAGCAATTATTTGCTCATTATAACTTTCTACACTCTGTCACTTTTGACTTTTTGTCCTTGCTGAGTAAAAGTATTAAATTACTTTGAATCAAAAATCGTGCTGATCCCAAACATTTCTCGTTTAGCTTTAGTAGTTTAAATTTAGGAATCAGTTAAGGAATCAAAAATTTGCATCTAAAATAATCTTGTCAAGGCTAGACATGATTATTTATACAACAAATAAAAACAATCTGTGGTGAAGTCAAAAGTTTAGCTGGCCTAGTAACTCATCGGTTGGAAGTGATCCTGTGATATTTTATTTAAATTAAGTTTAAATTGATTTGATAAACTTGACCTCTGATGTATGACACTATTAAAATTCAGAAGGATCATTCACTTTTTAGCCGATCATACACTTTTGGCCTCTAACAAGTGAGGAGACTTTACAGACAAAAGCAGAAAAAAATATCATATGGCTTAACAATAACATTATAGGGAATTTCACTGTGGTTTAGATTAAAATATCTAAGGTGTGTTAAGTGTTTATAAGGGGACAGAACAAACCTCAAGACATTTGTAGCAAAGTTAGATACAATAATAACCCTGATAAGGTCCCAAGGACCTTTGTGCAGTCATGTGTCTCTAAGATTCTTACATAGATGTTGTCTTTCTGGTATCGCTGATGAAGGTTGTGCATGATGGCGGCCTCATGGAGCTCTGCCAGTGTGGACATGTCCTCCACTCCATCAATGCTGCTCTGGTGCATGGGGGACACCTTCTCCCTGTTCACCTCCGCCTGCTGCAGGTACACTGCCTGAAAGACAGAAACAGACAGAGTGGCCTTAACAAAATAACACAGCTTCCACGCACACCAGCCTGCTGATACACAGATGCATGAGTAGTATATCACAAAAGGGGAGAGGATCCTTCCTGGGCCATTTGAAGGGAATGCCTGCAGTTGAATAATGCATTAGTTAGACAGCAGGGTTCCCGCTTTTCTGTTCCGTAGAGTTTCAGCGTGCTGAGGCCTTTCTTTACCCTTTAAACCCAACCAGGCACTGCTTGAAAAAAAAAACACCAGATGTGTTGGCAAGTAGAGTACAGTCTGGCCTATTTAAACTCGGCAAAAAGGAAACTTTTAATAATTCAGGAATTAACATTAAACATGTTTTCGCATGTGTAATATGTAGCTTATAAATGTCATTGATAGCCACTGAATTCCATAGTATTTTTTTCCATACTATGGAAGTCAATGGCTACCGTCAACTGTTTGGTTACCAACTTTCTTCAAAATATCTTCATGTGTTCAACAGCTGAAAGAAATTCATACATGTTTGGAACAATTTGAGGGCGAGTAAATGATGACAGAATTTAAATTTTTTGGTGAACTAACTATGTGTATGAAATATGAAGGTTTTTTATTTTTTTATTTTACAATAGATTGTAGAATAAAATAGTTTTAAATCTTGCCTTAACTCAATTCTTTAGGGTAGCTTTTACTTGAATGTTTGGTATTAATTCTATATTATTTTACTTTTAAGTGTTTTGAATGCATCTCTTCTCTTCTTGCTTATTTTATAATCTTCATATGGTGTATTTTGTTGTTTTACTTGCTTATGTAAAGTGCTTTGAGATGTAACATTTACGTGCTACAGAAAATAAAGATTATTATTATTATTATCTGCCGATACTTCCTTTACACTATGAAATAAGTATCAAGAGACAACTATGTCATTTGTATGTTGATTTCCTCAAAAATGAGGGCCTGCAGGCAGGAAAAGTGTTCTGGAAACCTGTTTGATAAGACAAAGAGAGAATTATATTTGCCTCAGTTACATGCTGCTAAATTGGGGTTGACAGTCTGAAGAGAAGAAGGAAAGGTCAAAGTTTATGAGCTGAAACAAGTTGCTGCTAATCAATACTACTGACGGTAATGACATTGACCTTCCAGAATCCTGATCCGAATCAAACCGTATTTAGAAATATAAAGAAACAAACCTGATTTCGAATGAAATAACACAGAATTTCAGTGTATTTGAGCGTACATTTTGAAGAGAGGGTACAGACATAATATACAGTCAAATCTCTTTATCACTTGTGTATGCTTTAGAAAATTTGCTAGTATTTATACCTTTGTGTTTGTCTAAGTGTCTGTCTGATTATAGCTTATAATGCTTATCTAGCATGCTTTTTATATAACATTTGAGGGACACTTCTAACATTCAGTCAAAGCTACTGAAGACCTGAAATATAGCCCAAAAGTTTACTACACAATACTTTTATTATACTTTTATGGTATGTTTTTTGGAGCTTTACAGTAATTATCATACATGACTATACACAGCTAAGTATTTTGGCTAATGTTCTGGCAAAGGAACAAAGGTTCTAGCAACAATAATGGAATATTTGTTCAAAGTTCTAGTTATTAATAATGTTCTCTTTGATAATTTGGTCTTAAATGATGTTCTCAAAACTTTAACACAAAAACATTATTTATACATTTTTTATGGAACTTTTTCCCCCCTGAAATGGACATTTACCTTTTTATAAATGTTACTACTTGTTTTAGATTGTATATAAAGTGTGCATAATGATAAAATGGAATGTTTCAAGTTTACATAACCAAGAAAAACTTTTCTAAAACAAAAAACTGAACATTTTGATTTATAACTTAACGGGAATGTTAACAAAACATTTTTAGAACATAATTTTTGTTAGCTGGGCAGTATCTGATGTGGATTGGACACCTATCAGATCTGTTGTATGTGTGTGGACTGACTTCTTTTGGGGACAAAATTGTACCCAGAAGCAAACTAAACCTGACAAAATCTCCTAAAACCTCCTAAAAGTAAAAGTTTAGGGTTTGGTTACTGTATTTATAACTATCTGTAAAAACAATTTAAGTATATGTAATGTCCCCATTTAGATAGTTATGTAAATGTGTGTGTGTGTGTGTGTGTGTGTGTGTGTGTGTTTGGTTGTGAATCTGTGATGATTGTAAGTTTAGACGCTGAAAAGAGGAGATGAGGAGGTCTTCATGCTCCATTTTCTCCACCCACACACTCACACACGCACGCAAGCACACAGCCGCTCCATCTCTCTCCCCTCAGCGCATGGATATTCCTGCAAATCTGTTTGATGTTTGAAGCTGCTTTGCATGATTCAAACGAAAGCTGCAAAAGAGCATGGGAGAGAGAGACTATAAGCACCAGTGACCTACATTCACACCTATAGAGAAACAGAAGCGCAACAGAATGCGGGATCCTGAGATTCATGTTTAAATTTGAATTTAAAAACAAGGCCCACATGGAGCGAAACACTAAAAACTTAACTTAATGGTTAAAGACATCTGTCTGCCTGTGCACACAGACCAAAAATGATATAATAAAAGTGCCCTGTGTGATGACCATTTGAATTGCTGGAGACTGTAAGCCAGTGATAGGCTTATGTTCAGTGATATGGAAATAAAGAAAAAAATATATGGATTTTTAAAAGGTATTTTCAATGCTTTCATTGTGACTGAATTATTTAAATGTCAGCCTTTTCACTGTGGATTGGACACCTATCAGATCTGTTGTATGTGTGTGGACTGACTTCTTTTGGGGACAAAATTGTACCCAGAAGCAAACTAAACCTGACAAAATCTCCTAAAACCTCCTAAAAGTAAAAGTTTAGGGTTTGGTTACTGTATTTATAACTATCTGTAAAAACAATTTAAGTATATGTAATGTCCCCATTTAGATAGTTATGTAAATGTGTGTGTGTGTGTGTGTGTGTGTGTGTGTGTGTTTGGTTGTGAATCTGTGATGATTGTAAGTTTAGACGCTGAAAAGAGGAGATGAGGAGGTCTTCATGCTCCATTTTCTCCACCCACACACTCACACACGCACGCAAGCACACAGCCGCTCCATCTCTCTCCCCTCAGCGCATGGATATTCCTGCAAATCTGTTTGATGTTTGAAGCTGCTTTGCATGATTCAAACGAAAGCTGCAAAAGAGCATGGGAGAGAGAGACTATAAGCACCAGTGACCTACATTCACACCTATAGAGAAACAGAAGCGCAACAGAATGCGGGATCCTGAGATTCATGTTTAAATTTGAATTTAAAAACAAGGCCCACATGGAGCGAAACACTAAAAACTTAACTTAATGGTTAAAGACATCTGTCTGCCTGTGCACACAGACCAAAAATGATATAATAAAAGTGCCCTGTGTGATGACCATTTGAATTGCTGGAGACTGTAAGCCAATGATAGGCTTATGTTCAGTGATATGGAAATAAAGAAAAAATATATATGGATTTTTAAAAGGTATTTTCAATGCTTTCATTGTGACTGAATTATTTAAATGTCAGCCTTTTCACTGCAAATAATTAAACGACTGTTCAAAAGTCTCTCATGCATATACTAGGATTACGTTTATTTGAACACAATACAGTAAAACAGTAATATTGTGAAATATTATTACAATTTACAAACAAATGCTTTTATTTTAATTTATTAAAAAAAAAAAAGTATTTCTGTGATGGCAAAGCTGAATTTTCAGCATCATTACTTCAGTCTTCAGTGTCACATGATCCTTCAGAAATTATTCTAATATGCTGATTCAAGAAACATTTCTTATTGTTAATGTTATCAACATTAAAATCGGTTGTGCGGATTAATATATTTGTGGAAACCGTGAGAATAAGTAACCGATGATGAGTTTAAAATAACAGTATTGGAAATAAATCTTTATAACATTATACTAAATATCTTTACTGTTATATGTGATCAATTTATTGCATCCTTGCCGAATATAACTATGTCTTTTGAAAAATAAAAAAACATTTGTGTATGTCATTAAATGCAATAAATTCTATTAACATAATTGAAATATAATACAATTAATTTCATTAGGCTTTTTGCATTTTCATCTCATCCACTGAGCTTACACTCAGGATCTGCTAATGTTTCTCAGTGTAAAATGAATTAGAATAGCTCTCACATACATGACGACACAAAGAAAGGCCATCTCAGGAGGGGGTGGGTGAGACGCTGTAGCTCAGAGTTGCATGTGAACTCTTATAGTTAACTTCTCAAATTGAGGTCACAGTATATTTTTGTGCCTCAGAATTCTTAAATCCTATAACAAACCTGTGAATGCTTTAGGTGAACTTGCACACACACACACATGCGCACTGAAGCACTGAAGCAGAAGACTCTCCTCTGCGTGAATAGTTGGAAGTAGATACTGACCAATGCTCCGGAGGGCACACACACAAATACACAACCACCAAAAAAAGAACCAACATACAGTTTTCCCAGCTGATACACTCTTAAAGGGATGGTTCACCCAAAAATGAAAATTCTGTCATTAATTACTCACCCTCATGTCATCTTCGGAACACAAATTAAGATATTTTTGATGAAATCCGAAAGCTCTCTTACATATGTGATACTCTCCAAAATGGCACTATAGGGTGACGTGGAGGAGACAAATTGTTGAATAAAGTCGTTATTTTTGTTTTCTTTGCACACAAAAAGTATTGTTGTAGCTTTGGAAAATTATGGTTGAACCACTGATGTCACATGGATTATTTTAACGATCTCCTTGCTACGTTTCTGAGCCTTGATCGTGTAAGGATCCTTGCTGTCTATGGGAGAGTCAGAGAGCTCTCGGAATGCATCAAAATATCTTAATTTGTTTTCCGAAGATGAACAAAGTTCTTACAGGTTTGGAATGACATGAGGGTGAGTAATTAATGACAGAAGTTTCATTTTTGGGTGAACTATCCCTTAAAAAAAAAAAAGGTGCTTCACATTGCCATAGAAGAACCTTTTTGTCTAAATGGTTCCATAAAGAACCTTTAACATCTGAAGAACCTT